TTGTGTTATACTTTTTTTTTTTTTTTTTCCGAATGTGTGTGTATTTTAATATTTACTACCTGTGCCGTTTGCATAAAATGCTTAGACTCACAAGTTGTTACAAGTCACAAGTCTTTTTTTTTTTCTTCAAGACTGGACATAACGTTTTGAAGCCAGTTACACAGAAACATAGATTGGTCTATTTTGAATCCTAAAAGTAAGATTTGAATAACTGCTAGTTGGTCAGACTAGTTCTGAAGACATAGTCTCAGTGACTTTGAGTTTATTCAACCGGTCCCTGGTTCTGTGCACTTTCATTGTAAATACCTTAGTTAACTTATTAAACTTAGGAACCATTCAAAGCACTGCCTCAAATGCAGTTGATTCTCAAGTTAGCCTGGTGCATTCCTTTAAAGATGCATATTGACTGGTTATTATTGACTATGTAAATGGTGGGATGCTTGAGTATTCAAACACATCTTGTTTAGTGTAAATACGCATACAGTTTGTCTGCTGCATTGGCGTTTATGACCTCAACGGGATGAATGGGTTCGAAGCGCAGCGCGTCACATGACTTGAACACACGAAACTGGCCTGCCATAAGGTATACATAAAATTTTAAATGACCTCTTCATAAAACAAAACACACAAATCACTAAACACAGGCACGCCTCGATCGCACACACTCCATAATCCGCCGCATTAAAGGACGACAGCGATGCCTTTCATTTACCGAAGCGTCTCGTGAGCTGCCCAGGGTCAAGCTGATGGCTGCGTGCCGCACATGCTCAGTATTAATTCCCGCTCGCAATACAAACAAAACTACTAAAACTGTTATCATTCAAATTAAACTAGAACATAAAAAATAATAATAATAAAATAAAGAGATAAAGTTAAACAAAAATTATTCAAAATATTAACTAAAAGTATAATTGTATATGAATATGGCTGCGTGCCGCACATGCTCAGTATTAATTCCCGCTCGCGTCTGCTTTGTCTTCTCCAGCTCGCTGAGCAAGTTCATTTCATCTGATGAGTTCACGCGGGGGTCAGGACGGTCCTCGGGAACACGGCTGAAGCCGATTGAAAAAGCGCCGTAGTTAGACTGCGCTACAATGCCAGAACTTTTTATTCCGCCCGGTTTTGAGCGATGCTTCGGAAGTATTCTGGCATTGTCTCAAAGAACGCTAGAACAGCCTCTTGTTCGCTCCATCTCTGAAAGCAATCAAAACGGACAGGTAGCGGGATTTTCGCTGTTTGGTTGCGTTCCAGGGAATGAGAACGAAGCAATTTGCTTTTGTCTGTGCGTTCGGGACGATCCAGTCAGTAGCCTGGCACGCTTAGCGTTTAGCATCGCCACTTCTAAATCAAAGGAAAACAAAAACTATTCTTGATTTCTGCAAGGTCGGCCATCTGTTACTGTACATCTAAATTTCACAATCCAATTCTCAGAAGCGTTCACTTCAGCCGGTTTTCCTCCACCCCTCCTCCTCAGTCAATCATGAAAATGTGCTCGACTGATGACTGCCTCTCCGGCGTCGTGTGAAGAAGCACAGGGCTTCATCAAAATGCTCAATCGAAGGTAATTTAAAGTCAGCGCCACGAACGGCTGTTTAAGGTGGGCTCTGTTGCGCGACTGAGCTAAGCTTGGGAAGAGATGACAGGAGGCGTTTTACCATTTAAAAGGATAGCGGAATAGATTTCGCACCCCAATAATACTGTAAATATATCTGGCCGTGCGTTTGGACGGCTGCCATGAGAAGGATGTGACTTTCAAGTAGCTGTGCATCAATAAATCACAGGCCTTTCAATGGGCCCAAACTGCTGCTTTCTCCTCATATGGGCCGCTTTCCTTGCATTCGGGCCACTGGCATCTTAACTTAAAAAATACAGCATTATGCATTGCATTATGGGAAGGGAAATAATTGAAACGCTACCTGTGATGAGTAGTTTGTTCTAAAGCGCGTGTATGGTGGAGATGCAGACATTGTGTGAATGAATTTTGTGTTGCAGAATGTCATGCAAAAGCATGTTGCGAGCATGCCATTATTTAATTTGAGTGGATTTTAAATTTGCATTTATTAAATTTGATCCGAGGCAATTTACAATGCATTTTATCAGAATGCATTCCCTGGAAGTCAAACCCATGACCTTGACGTTGCAAACACTGTGGTTGCATGTTTTATCACACTGCTGTGTGATTGCTAGATATTCTGGGTTGTTTCCTACTAGTCCAGCAGTCCAGTCAAGTCTCTAGATGTGTTTGGGTCTCTAATTCATGAAGCGTCAATTCATCCATTAGGTGAAAGTCGAGGGTTGTTATCATTAACTAAAAAAATTAAATTAAATAAAAAAAGTTATTATTTAAAATAAAATAAACATTAACTGAATATATATATAAATTCCCGCTCGTGTCTGCTTTGTCTTCTCCAGCTCGCTGAGCAAGTTCATTTCATCTGATGAGTTCACGCGGGGGTCAGGACGGTCCTCGCTCCCGCTCTGGAGTACGGCCGACGCCGATTGAGAAAGTGCCGCAATTAGACTGCGGTACAAAGCCAGAACTTTTTATTCCGCCCGGTTTCGAGCGATGCTTCAGAAGTATTCTGGCGTCGTCTCAAAAAGTGTTTTTTTTTTGTTTTAAATGTGCTAGAACAGCTTCTTGTTTCGCTCCGTCTCTGAAAGCAATCAAAACGGACAGGTAGCGGGATATTCGCTGTTTGGTTGCGTTCCAGGGAATGAGAATGAAGCAATTTGCTTTTGTCTGTGCGTTTGGGACGATCCAGTCAGTAGCCTGGCACGCTTAGCGTTTAGCATCGCCACTTCTAAATCAAAGGAAAACAAAAACTATTCTTGATTTCTGCAAGGTCGGCCATCTGTTACTGTACATCTAAATTTCACAATCCAATTCTCAGAAGCGTTCACTTCAGCCGGTTTTCCTCCACCCCTCCTCCTCAGTCAATCATGAAAATGTGCTCGACTGATGACTGCCTCTCCGGCGTCGTGTGAAGAAGCACAGGGCTTCATCAAAATGCTCAATCGAAGGTAATTTAAAGTCAGCGCCACGAACGGCTGTTTAAGGTGGGCTCTGTTGCGCGACTGAGCTAAGCTTGGGAAGAGATGACAGGAGGCGTTTTACCATTTAAAAGG